TTATGAAAAAAATATTATATGATTGATAAACAGAGAGCAATATGCAAAATGGGTAAATTTTCTATTTCTCAATCCTACCTAATATTTTAACAATTTTCTAATTTTGTGAAAAATGTAAAAAAATCTGCATAATTATTCGATTTTTCAAACAAACAAAGCGTTAGTTTCTTAATTAAATGAAATGAAAAAAATGTGCATACTTTTTATTTGACAATTTTGACGAATTTTAATAAAAATTTTTAGACTAGTTACATTTTTCAAGGAATTTGATTAAATATCTGTATTGAAAATAATTGAAATTCTGCGATGAGTTTTATTATTTCTGAAAATAATTGAATTATTGACAAGAAACTTATAAAAAATTTGTAAATATTTTCCTGTTTGTTATTAAATAATCTAATTCTTTTGGGTCATTTTATTAAAATAGTAGATATTGAAAATCATTGAATATTTTTTAATATAATTTAAATTCTGACAATAATTTTATTAAAAGTTTTGAAAATAATTAAATTTTGAAGAAGAATTCTTTTATTTATATAGATAATAATTGGGATTTTGTCTGGATTTTTTTGTACATTTGAAACATACAGAGAATTTTGTAATAAAAATTTTATTACTTTTGCAAAAAATTGAATTTTTTGAATCATTTGTAACTTCTTCAAAATTCAATATTTTTAGTGTTTTTAACGAAAATTCTTCTATAAATCAATTAGTTTTAATAATTAATTAAATATATATATATATATATATATATATATATATATTAACAAATTTAACTAATTTTAGAATATTTTGAATTATTAAAATTTTACAAAAATCTAAGTTCATTAAAATTTCTAATTAAATTCATTCAACATATAAATTTTATAAAATTTTAAATTGAAACCTTTTGAAACCTTTTGAACTTCATTTATTTATGAAAATTGTAAACACAACTTCTTTAAATAATTTATTATGGTAGTTGTTTATTTATGATAGTTGTTCAAGATTTAAGTTACTTAAAAAGAAATTAATTATTGTCAGAAATTGAAAAAAATTTACGGTTTCGTATTAGAATTCGTTGTAATTTCATAGTTTATAAGTCAAACAAAAAAGACACAAAAATTCAGAATTTTTTCATGAATTCTAAAAATTTAATTTTTTTCAGTACTTTTAATAAAAATTTCTGACTTTTCCCTGAATTCCCTAAATCAAAATATAAGATTATTATAAATATAATAATATTAAAACTATATATTCCAATTCATATTTTATTTTTTAAAAAAAATGTAAATTAAAACTTTTTACGTTCTATTATTTTTAAAATTGATAATTTTATTTTAAAAAAAAGCGAGTGAGATAAGTCATCCGCATGCAAATTGTTGATAGTTTTTTAATCAATAGTAAAATAAAAAAAAAATTATGATGTAATAAAATCTATAAAAACTTAACAAAAAACAAAAGTATACATTTTACTTATTATTTTATATAATTTTTATTATTATTAAAAAATGTTTCTATGGATGAGATTATAAAGCATTTAAGTAAAAAAAAGTATTTAGTTACGTTTTTGCTAATCAGAGTGGAAGTTGTTAAAAATTGTACAAGTAGATATCGGTAAAATGAAAACTCGTGAAACGGGAAGCAAAGCATCAAATCCGTAATTTTGACTGTCAGTTCTGTCAGAGTCATTGGTGGGAAACCGTCAGAGATTACGATAAGCTTAATTTCTCTGTGAGATGTATATACACACTGTATATATATATTTTGCACTCTATACATGCGCACAGTTTGATAAAATGGACAGTAGTTTCTCAGCGATATAACACCAGAGTCGTATAATCGCGTTGTCTTCCGTGATGGATTAGGATTCTCACACGATGGAAATAATTCCGTTTCCGGAGCCAATCGCGTCTGAACGATCAAGTAGAATTCGTTTAACCTCGTTTTTATCATTTTTCCACTCATGTTATTCATTTTATTTTCAATAATACTCATCATTTCAAATCAATTATCGAAAAAAAAAGATTTCAATACAATTTCTTCAATTGTAAAATGTACAATATAAAATTTTTTACATTCTTTTTCAAATTTTTTAAATGTTTATAAAGAAATGTACGTTTTAAATTGAAAACGTTTTTCATTATTATTGTTTTTTGTGAAAAAGTTTTTAATTAGCCGCTTTTTGTTTAAACCAAATGGTTTAAATTAATTGTTAATATAATTTAATTGTTTTGTAATAAAAATACCTAAATACGGTTATTTTGTTTTCATATTTATATATTTAATCAACTAATTTCGAACCTTTTATAGTTAGTATGTAAAATATTTTGTTATTTTAAAATTATTATTTTTTTGTACAAATTTTAATTATTATTTTAATGATTTATTTTTATTTTATTATCCTACTATTAATAATAATTATTCATTGCATTGCCTCCAATTATAATTAATTGTTATTATTAATTGTTGTTGTTTCATTTTCAATAAATTTGATTAATTTTTTTAATGTCTTGACATTTTCTTTTGCTTGTAGGAAATAAATTTTTTTTCTAATATATATGTCGAGAAAATTATGTCTAATTAAACTCTCAAAACATTGAAACAGAAACTGAGAATTCTTCATTGCATTGCCTCCAATTTTCTTTCTAAAGTTTATGGAGAATGAAACTAGTTACATTCTAGTCAAATGATGTAGATATAATTGCTCTTGCTGATGCACGGCAGCCGATTAAGGGAGTGCACGCTCGTCGCTATTAACCGATTCGTATTGCGATTAACCACGGAATTCAGGCAATTTATGGTTTCGCAGAAACAAAGATTTTTCAAAAAAGTAAAAAAAAAAAATAATCTTGAGATTTTCATTCAGATTTAGTGTGTTAATTAACAAAGTTGTTATTTTAATAACATTCAACAACTAGTTAGTTTAACTTTTTTTGGTTTATTTTTCTCTATTATTTCTTTTAGTCATTTCTTTATTTTATTATTTATTTAATATTTATTACATATTATTTATTTTAATGAAAACCAATGAATTTCGTACTAACAGTAATTTAAATATTGAGCTACAAATAGAAATTACAAACACTTTCAAACATCATTATTTAATTATATTATCATAAGAATATATTCAAGGAAAATATTTAATTTAATAATAAATATTAATAATGAATATATAATTAGTGATTTAAATTCATTTGAATTATTTTACTATATTTTCTTTGAAGCTTATTAGCTTCATTAATTAATTATTAATAATACTACTGAATAATTCATACAAAATTAATAATTAATTTTTTTTCTGTTTAAAAAACGATTTATTTAGTGATTTAGTATGAAAGGGAATTTTTAAGTAGAACAAAAGCTTCTGGTCAGACGAAACTAAAAATCTAGATATTGCGTTATTTTGATCGATATTTTTTAAGTTTTAAGATAGAAGAAAAGATATTTTTTAAGTTAGTACAAAATATTTTTGTCATACAATACAAAAAAATTAGGTATTTTGTTATGTTTATTAGAGAAAACAAAGTTTCAAGTAAAGGGGTAATTTTAAGTCAGAAAAAATTAATTTTCTAAGTAGAACAAAAATTTTAAGTCAGACAAAACATAGTGCCAAGTGTTTTAGTTCTTGTTTGTTATTTTCAAATATTTTTAATAAATTTATTGTTTTTAAAAAGAGATTTTTAAGTAGAATAAAGTTTCCAGTCTGGCAAAGAATTTTTTAAGTAGTATTAAAGTTTTAAGTCAGACAAAACTAAAAATGTAGATATTACGTTAATTTGATAGATATTTTTAAGTTTCAAGGCAGAAGAAAAATTTTTAAGTAGTACAAAAGTTTTTAGTCAGACAAAACTAAAAGTGTAGATATTACGTTAATTTGATCGATACTTTTTAAATTTCAAGGCAGAAGAAAAGAATTTTTTGAGTAGTACAAGAGTTTTTTGTCAGACAAAACTTAAAAATTAGGTATTTTTATAAAAGAAAACAAAAATTTCAAGTAGAAAAGTAATTACAATAAAATAAAATAAAATCAATAAGTAGTATAAAAAATTTTAGTCAGACATAACTTTTTTTTGTTATTTTTAGAAACATTTATTTATTTTAAAAGGTCAAAAATAGAATTCCTACAGTCAACAAATTTATGTTTCTATAAATGAATAAACTTTACCTCAAAATAGTTACAAAATAATTATTAAGCAGTAAACAACTTTAAAAATTTTGAACCTCGATTAGAACATTAAATAACAAATTAAAAACATTTATTTATAATTTACAAACAAAAAAATTTAAATTAGAAAAAATGTTTTAATTACAAAATATGTAAATAAATAACAAAACTCTGTAATTTTTGAAATAATAATTTTAAATTACACAAAATTTCAAGGTTGATGAATAAAAAAGTGTGAAAGACAAACAGTACCTCTATTTACATTTCAGAGGAATGTTTGTATATAGAAGCAGAGAACAAAGGCTGATCACTTTGTTTTGAATAGCAATTTTCAAAAATTTAAATAGTTCGTTCTTTTTCACTTGTAGGTATATCTATTTCCACCAAAAATTTTTTATAAAATGAAAAATCGAGAAAAATAGAACTAAAAACTACTTTAAAGTCAAATAAGTAAAACATGTAAAGAATAATTTTTCTATTTAAAAAATTCATCGTGGAAAATTCGTGAAACTAATAAATAATATTATATCTCTCTCTCTTATGATAAGAACATAGAAAGATGATGGTAAAAAAAATTTCTTAGATTTTCATTTATCAGTTGATCTCCTGGTGGTGGTATTCAATACTCAACTATCGTGTCTGACTGAAGGTGGCAGCATTCTACTGAAAGCTCTGAAACACTCCACTTTTTGAAAATCAATAAAATTTTTTTTTTGAATATTATACAAATAATTTTCTTTTCTAACAGATGATTACATTTTTAAAAATTAAAATTAAACTGTCTGTCAAAGAATTTTTTTTCCTTCTATTATTAACTTTCTTATAATCTAATACTAAATTTATCTTTTTAATATAATGCTATTATTTTTATTTATACAGAAAAATATTACACAAAAATCACTATAACTGTATACAATATATTTTCAAGAAATTATTGGAGAAAAATGAATGTTTCCTACAAAATTACGAAAGGTTTAATATTGTCTTTTCAATTTCAAATGTGATTTCCATTATTATTGACCATATTTTCCTTTTGGTCGAAAATACCCTATAATTATATGAATACTCCTGTATATAATATTCCTATATATTTGGACAAGTATATATAGACTTTCTTAATCCAATTTTCTCCCTGCTATTGTTTATATGAGATAATTTTATAACTTATGCTTTTTTAAATAAAATTTCTTGTCATAAAAATTTGAAATTATTTTTCAATAAGAAATTCTCTTAATAGTTATATATATATAAAATAAAAATATAGAACTATAAATATACGAGTAGAATTTAAAAATATAGCGTTGATAACATAATTCCTTTTTTTTTCTCAAAAAATCAGAATAAAAATTTCGATGTTATATTTGTGGTGGCTGATAATGTAGATTTTGATGTTTTATCTTGTACTGATTCATTGATTTTCTATTACGTCGACTGTAGCTACATTTTTCGAGAGGATTCTTTCAAAATTTATGCATCATCTGCTTTCATTCTTTCTGTTGTTGCCGATGTTGTATCTGTTGCTGGTTCTGGTTCACGAATTCCCATCCACTTACATCGCTTTTGTAATTCCACTCGATACCTAAAAATAATTAGAATTTTTTTTTAATTTAATATTTAGGTCAAGGACAATTAGAAAAGTGATGAATTGATAAATGTTCATTTTTGGTAATGAAATAAAATAAAATATTTTTAGTGCACATTTTTTTAAATACTATTTTTCTTCTTTATTCTTCTTTTTCTATTTTCTCCCTTTTTCGCTTTGATAATAATAATAGTTTTACGAAAAGTAAAAATTTTGTTTAATATTTTAATATTTAATTATTAATTATTAATAATTATTAATTTCATATTTTTCTTCTTTTTTTCTTTATCATTTTTTTTAGTTATTTATTTGAATCAGGACTTTTTAATTATCTTTTTTGAAATTAAATTTAAATTTGTCTGTAAACCTTCTTCGTCTTATTAAATAATACAAATGAACATTAATTTTGAACAATAATGAAAATCTTTTTAATTGGATAATTGGTAATGTAAAAAGATATTATTTATTTACCAGTAGAGGTATAAGATTAATTTACATTTACTGATATTGACATTTTAATATAAGAAAAAAATAACATCAAAGATATCGAATCATATTGTTTTCTTATTATTATTTAATTATTCAATTGTTTTTCAATTTTTCATTATTATTCGCAATGTGTATAAATCTATAAATTGAATTTACCTTGGATGATTAATTGCATAAACCCAGGGATCAATGCAGGATACAGTTTTTGCGAATACTGCTGGTATCATTGTGGCAAATGGTGTTAATGTTTCACTGTAAAAAAATTTGAAAAAAAATTTCATTTTATTTCCAAAAAAAGAAAATTAATAATAATTTACAATTTCTGTTTCTAAATTAAGGTAGAAATGGAATTTTAAAAAAATGCATAAAAAAAGCCTTCTCGAGAAGAAGGAAAATCAATATATCTTCGGAGGGAATAAATTTTTTTTTACCGATTTCCAAAAGCTCCAGTCAAAGCAACAACAGCATATGGCGTCCAGGCGCAAACAAATAAGAAAAATATCGTGAATGCAACTTTTGCAATTCGCATTTCAACACTTCTTTCCTTATCTTGATTGGATATGAGTGATTTGATATTCATCTTCTTCGCCTTTATTTTGAAAATTATTTATTTTCAATATGAAAAAATGATGAAAATTAATTTTTCTTTATTTTCTATATTTTATAATATAAATTATTTTAAATTTCATTATTAAAATATGAATTAAAATTAAAAATATAACAATTTAACTTTAAATTTACAGAAAGAAAAATTTTAATTAAAGAAATATAGAGAATAATTAATAAATAAAAATTGTAAAGAAGAAATTCTAAAATAAATGAATACAAACCTGTTCACGTAACATTTTTTCATGATGACGTACAGATTTCATTAATTGAGAATAGAAATAAACAATAAGTGTCATTGGAAAAACGTACGACCAACAGAAAATGCTTGCAACAAAAACTTTCGTGTCATCATCGTCTGTCAGAAAATCAAAACTGCAGGTTGTTAAAAATCCCTCTGAAAATCAAAAATAGTAATAAATATATGAAATATTATTTCAGTTATTATCGAATGTGTACAAAAAGAATTTATTTAATTTAAATAAACGTTTACTTAAGTTTACTAAACAAATATTTATTTGGATCGAATTATTTTTATTTAAGTCAATAAAATGTTCTATTTATTGTTATGAAAAAAATATATATTTAAAAATGTTCATTAAAACGAAATTCAAATACTAAAATTATTGGTCGGTAAATACAATTTTTTGATTTGAATAAAAATTATTTGATTCAAATAAATATTTCTTTGACTTAAAGACATTTGTCTATTAAAAAATTAATTCCTATATTTGTCTATTAAAAATTTATTTGAACCAAATAAATTTTTCCCATTGTTATAAATTTAAACCTTTTTAAAAATTTCCTTTTAAACCAATTGATTTTTAAATTTCAAAAAGAAGAGTAAATTCTTTAAAAATTTCACAATTTTCATTTATTTAAAATTTAAATAACTCTCTACTTTAACTGTATTCCATATTTTGCATATTCTACTAAATTATGAAAGTGCTTCTATTTTAAATACACTTCAATATTTCAATGCTTATTAGATTACATTAACAATTTGTATAATATTCTGAATAATTATAACCTAAATATAAGTAAATAATAAATTAGTTCGCTTAATCATATTATTTGAAACAAATAAAGTTTATATTTATAAAATAATCAATAATTAAAGAAAAATAATATAAATTCTTTATGTACAATTTTCAATGCACTTAAAAATAAAAGGGAGAAAAAAAATTTTATTTTATTCATTAGGAATTGTTTGTTAACTTTTTTCTTTATTTATACATTTTTTGTTTGTTAATAAAAAAATTTTACCTGGTACGTAACGACCCCAAACACGAACCCATGGAAGTATTGTGAATGGCAATGCCCAAAACCATGTAAGCATTACGATAACAAAAGCTTGTTTTCCATTGAGTCTTCCATCGATAGGGCACGAAATAGTTCTAAATCAAATTAACAATTATTATTATTATTAATAATAACATTAAAAATAAGGAAATAATTGAATAAATATAAATTAATCAATCATTATTAACATTACTATTTATATAAGTAAAATTTAACTAAAAGTATTTATAATTTACTAAAATTAATTTGAATTAAATTAGTCTAAAATTAAATAAACATAATTGAAAATCGAAAATAGTTTAATGTATTTGATGACAGATTGAAACCTGTAGCGATCGAATGCAATGGCCGCATTTGTAATGGCTTGACCTATCCCAGAAATACTGCCGAGTGCACCATAAATATCGCAGCCCAATTGCCAACCTAACATTCGCTCCAAGAAACTATTGGCAATCAGCAATGGCATTTCTAACATCATCATTAAGTCAAAGAGAGCCAAATTAATTATAAACATATTTGACGGCGATCTGAGAGATTTTGACCTAGAATGTAAATATAGTTCAGTTCATTTCACCGATTAGAAGCAGAAAAAATAATATTTACAAAAATAAAAATATAAATTTAACTTCTATATTCAAAATTAATAGAATTTTTATATTATTTCTACTATCGAAATAAAATAAAAAATCCAAATATAAAATCAAATTTAATCAGTCGATTTAATAAATAATAATTAATAACTTGATAAAATTAAAAAACTCCACAGATACAATAGAATTTAATTTTAAAAATTAGATGATATTCGTCATATTTAAAAATTAAAAGTGAATACAAAAATGGAATAATATTTAAATTATTCAATCTAATTTATCGAAAAACTGAAAATAATAAAGGAAGCTGTGAATTTTTTTAATTTTTAAAGAAAGTAATTTAAATGTTTAATGTATCATAATCCTATCTGATATCTTTATTGCAATTTTTTTTTTCATTTCTATTTTTGCAAAATAGAAAATTCTTACGTCGAAAATATCCAAACAACACATCCGTTACCGACGAGTGAAAGTACCATGAGCATAAAATAAATTAGGGCTAAACATATGTGCCAATATCTTTGTGGTGCCAAAAATCCCCTCCAATGTGGATGTACCATATCTGAATGTTCTGCTGGTACATTCCATCCCAAAAGACGATCCTGCATGTGCTGAATATGCCTTTGAATACAAAAAAAGAATTAATATTAATATTAAAACAAAAATTAAAATCTCAATACTTTACATGTAAAATTTTTAACAAATGTATCATTTTTGCTATATTTGTAAGAAGTTTAAGTAATGTACCATGTCTGCAATATCAAATATGTAAATTTATAATTATTCTTAATAACTGTCCGAAATAAACTTACATTTCTCATTTCAATGATTCTATATTAAAAAATTTAATTTATTGGATAATTCAAAATTATTCTCATAAAACCATGTATAACGCATCGATTACAAAATTTATTTTAAAAAATTATTCATCAATCTATATATATATATATATATGTATTTTTTTATCCTGCAATATTATACTTGAGATCAGATACACGTCCATGATGGCGTAAAGTTTAATCTCAATTTTCTTGAAACTTTGATTTTCAAACATCTAACTTCAAAAGCGCCCCGATGCCTGGGGTTTCAATCTAGAGGGTTCGTGCTAAGCTTAAAAGATCGAAATTCATCTCGATATATGACCTTTTATCAAAACTTTATAATATTGACAAAAACAGATGCAAAAACATTGAGAATTAAAGCGAAAGAAAAACGTATGAAAAAAGAGAAACTTTTTTTAGCGAAGGAATGTTCGAGTATTGTTTTTTTTTTAAAAAAAACTTTTGTTTTGATTGAAAAAAGTTAGACTGAAAATAATTTAGGATACTGAAAGTAAAAATTTGGAAGATTCTGGAAAGTGGGACTGAAAAGACTCTTACTACTGAAATGTAAAAAAGAATATTTTATTAAGAAACTGTCTCACTAGGAAGTGTCTTCTACTACTTGTCTATTAAGGTTGGACTTACACTTTTGTTACTACTGTCTGACCGATACTACTTTTTACTACTGATTATCAGATTGTTAATATACTTAGATAAAAAAAATTAAAATTAAAATTTTTGCTACCTTCTAACTTCCTATTACTACTAAATGCAAAAAATTGACCAATCAGTTAATTTTGTAAAGAAAAAAAAATTAATAATTAAAAACAAAAAAAAAATTTTTTCTCGTTCTATATTCAAACTGAAAGTTCCACAAATATTTTACCACAAACTTTTAGTAACTCATGCAAAAATAATTACAATTTGTGTCACAAAATTTATATATTATATGTTGAACAACTTTCTTTGTCTGGCTGGCACTGACTTTTACTACTGATTCAGTTGTAAAAAAAATTTCTGTCGTCTGACACTAGGGAAAGAAACTCAAAAAAAAATTAGGCAGCCCGACTTGTACTCACTTCTATTACTAACACAAAATTTTCAAAATTTATCACGTCTGACTTAAATTAATTTTGACTACTGAAATTATAATAAATAAATTAAACTTAATGTCACAAAGTTTATTTGACATTTACATGCCACTGAAAACTGAATAAAAAGGAAAAATCTGTAGTCTGACTGGTACTGACTTGTACTACTGATACAAAATCATTTAAATTACGTCTGACTAAAACTATCATACACTACTGAAATCCTAATAAATAAATAAAATTAAAATTAGTGGCACAAAGTTTATTTGATATCTATATGACACTGGAAACCAAATATGAAAAAAGTTTTGTAGTCTGACTGGAACTGAATTTTACTACTGATACAAAAATTGCAAAATTTTTTTCTTAGTAAAACTATTTTAGACTACGGAAATCGAAATAAATAAGCAAGTTTAATTAATTTAACAAAATCTTATTTAAATTTGATTCAGCACTGATAAAAATAGTAATAAAAAATTTATCACTCTGACTAGCATTGATTTTTACTGCTGATCCAATATTAGTAAAACTACGTCAGAGTGAAACCATTTTTGACTATTGAAATCCTATTAAATAAACAAGATTATAATTAGTGTTACAAAATCTTGTTTGATTTTTATTTAGCAATAAAACTACCTACGTCTGACTAAAAGTATTATTAACTACTGAAATCTTAAAAAACATAGAAAAATTAAAATTAGCGTTACAAAAACTTAATATGATATTTATTAGCACTGTGTGAAATTAAAAAAAAAAAATCTCATCAGACCGACTCGACTTACCTTCTACTACTGATACGAAATTACCAGAATTTATCTCGTCTGACTTAAAAGTATCAATGTCTACTGAATTTTTAATAAACAAAGATACTTGTACTCGTGATAAAAAATATTAAGAAATTTTCATAATTATTTCGTTTTATTTTCAAAAAAAAAAAATTTTTCCTTTAAAAAAAAGAAAAATTTACTAATAATTCAGTTTTTTCTTTTACTATTTCTAATTATTGTTATTAAGTAAAAATTATAATAATTTAAAAATTTCTCTAACAGACTTACACCACTAATTCTATATTAAGAAGAATTTTTCAATTCTAATAAAACTGTCTTTTACTACTGCCTACAAAAATGACAAGAATTCTAATCGTCTCCAAACTGTTACTCCTTTACTACCAATAGCAATTCTAGAAGAAAATTGATGTCTGATTAAAATTGACTTTTACTACTGCCATCTCGAAAATAATCACATCTCACCAAAACTCATTAATAAAAAATAAATTAAATCTTCAATTTAATTCTTGAAAATTGAAGAAAAAAAAACATTGTCTGACCATAATTTACCATCACTACTAAAAATCTGTTTCTAAAATAAAAAAAATTTCCTTCCTTTCTTCAAATTTCAAGAATATATATTTTTTTTGTCTGACCATAATTTACCATCACTACTAAAAATCTGTCTCTAAATGAATTCATAAACAATTTTGCCTTACACAACACTAGTATTATGTAAATGAAAAATTTTTTCTTGAAGGACTTCTGAGAAAAAGTTTTGAAAAAAAATTTTTTTTTTGCCCAGTGCAAGGGAGTAGAGAGAACAAAAAGAAGAAGAAGGTGGGGGATAAGAAATTTATTAAAAAAAATTTCCTTCCTTTTTTCAAATTTCAAGAATGTATATTTCTTTTGTCTGACTATAATTTTCCTTCACTACTAAAAATCTGTCACTAAATGAATTCATAAACAATTTTGCCTTACATAACACTAGTATTATGTAAATGAAAAATTTTTTCTTGAAGGACTTTTGAGAAAAAGTTTTGAAAAAAAAAAACTTTTTGCCCAGTTCAAGGCAGTGGAGAGAACAACAAGAACAAGAAGAAAAAAAAGGTGGGGAATGAGAAGCAGAAATTGAAAAAATAGAAAAAGGAGAAAAAGAAGTAGAAAAAAAATACAGAAAGTAGAAAAAGAAATTGAAAAAATGAGAAGCTTTATTAAATGAAGGTAAATATTTGCCTAATTAAAAAAGTAAAATTGCTGCCTTAAAAGTGAAAAGTATTTAAAAGTAATTGACGCCTGAAATTTTGGATTAAGTCGAGTAGCGAATGTCTGGCTAAGTGGAGCAAATGACTGTAACCTCCCTTGAGTCGGAAGTTCTTGGCAATCACGAAATCCATAGTGCTCTTCCCGGACGCAGTGTTCTTCAATGTTTCCTCCTAAAACTTTTGCCTTTTCTTTGACTCTCTCTCTCTCTCTTTCTTTTTTCTTGTTTCTCTCTCTGTCTCACTAATACTTTCTTTCTTTTTTCTCTCTCATACTTCCTCTTTTTCTCTGTCTCTCTCACTCTCTTTTTTTTCTTTCTCTCTCTTTCTTCCTTTCTCTCTCTGTTACTCACTCTCTTTCTTTTTTTTCTCTCTATCTCTCTATTCCTCTGTCTTTTTCTTTCTCTCTTTCTTCCTTTCTTTCTGCCTCTTTCACTCACTCTTTCTTTTTTCTCTCTATCTCTCGTTATTTTTTCTTTCTTCTCTTTCTTTATTTTTTTCTTTCTCTCCATCCCTCGTTCTTTCTTCTTTTCTCTTTCTCTCTTCCCCTAATTTCTCTCTCTCTCTCTCTCTCTCTCTTTTTCTCCTTCCCCCTAAATTCTTTCCCTCCTCTTCACTATCACCCCACTTCACTTCCGTTTAGAAAGCTTTCTTCATTCTCGCATCAACCATTTCGTATAGATGTATACCCTCCTTTTCTCATGTTCCACAACACAATACCAGGTGATTATCAAAGAAATGATCAAGTGTACCTACCCAGCATCACCGACAATGGCCATCGGCAGCAACATGGCGCTCTCATTGAAGAACATTCTTGCCCTGTGTTCGGTTTATCACCGAGAAATCGATAATTGGAAGTTCAACTGTTGTTAACGAACGTTCCGAATCTAATTGGACTGTTGCTAGTTACTTGATTGTTAGCGTTTTTGGTGTCTACCACTTTTCACCGAGTGGTTTTAGAACCTTTCTTGCATCAATATATATATTGCTCCCTCACTCTTTCTCTATCTATATATATATATATATATATGTTTATTAGAGAACAAACAATAAAAACCAAAAGAGAAATTTCACGAAAAAATTGATATTTCACGAAGAAAGAAAAAAATTTCCGTTTGTAAAAATTATATATTTTCAAAAAGGAAAATAGAAAACAGAAAATGGAGGAAATTTTTATTCACTTTGTTAAAAAGTTATTCACATTAAAAAAAAAATCAGAGAGAAAAAAAAGTGTTTATATAGAAGAGTTTTGAAGTGAGACGCGGTGCGAAAGTTGGGAATACGTTCCGCAACTCACTTGAATCTGAGAATTTCTTTTATTCTCCTTTTATATGGACATAGGAAGAATGCGAATGGCGTGCAAGTTGAGAATTTAATTCAATTTGTAAATCGTGGAAACCCTTTATTTAGCTGATGTTAGGTGGTCACGCGATTTAATATCACATGTATTCGTTTCTTTTTTTTTTAATTCTTCTTTTCTTTTCTCTTTTTTCTAAACTTGACATTTTTTGCCTTGAAATTTTTCACTCACAAATGTTGACACCTTTTTTTTCTCTCCTCTTACGAACAAGGTATTCTAATTCTATTATGTAATTTACCAGTATACGCGCATGTCCTAAAAGTAGAAAATATTTTTAAATTTCCCAACTAAATATTATTTTCTATATTCTGTGATTTTTATATCACTTATTTTAATTTTTTTTTTTTTTTTATGAAAAATTCATGCTTTTATAGAATATAAAAAAGTTATTAATCAATAAACTCACTTTATTATGTTTATACAAAAATGTTGTTCTCTAAAACTCTATTTTTGGTAAACAAAATAAATTATATTTACCTTTTTCCCTTTTATAAATACGAAAATTATAAATAGAAACATTGTTACCAATATCAATTTGCCTTAGGGCTGTTTGTTCAATAATGTGTACAATGTTCTCTATATTTTTCAAAAATTATTTAATTTAAAAATATCTTTTTTAATATATTACAATGAAATTAATAATGAGGCAACTTCGTCTTTTAGTTTACCAAAATTACATGTGAAAAATAGAATAAAAATTTTGCATTTTAAAATTTTAATCTTCCAGAAAAAGTTTTAAGCAAAAACATCGGGAGAAAAAATATGTTTACAAACTAGAGAACCACCAATTGAAATCAATTGAAATACGTAGAAAAAAATTATTTAAAAAAAAATTCTCTCGTTTCATTCAAAGTTTCTAAAGCCGCAGTAAAAAGTCATTCTTTTCAATTGCATCACTGAAAGCAATACTCGTGGGGGAAAAAAGTACATGTGGATAACTGATGTTTTTCTCTGAATCACACTATGTGTTTAAAAAAGAAGTTCCCAATAAAATTCAATTGTTTCTGTTTTTTGAATTTTTAACTTTATTTTTTCCCATTTTTTTCAAAATTCAATAGAAACTATATTGAACTATATTTAATTTTGAAAAAAATAATAATAAAAAATATGTCTAATATATCCGAGTAATGAAATTTTTTTTCCTCACTTAATTTAAAATGTGCCTAAAAATAAATGTCTCGTTAAGGAAGAGGTCTTTATTAAAAGGATTCTTTGTACATATTTTTTCTTTGTTATCACACAGTATCATTATGAAAATGAAAATCTTTTGAGAATCTTTTTAATTAAAAATTATAGAAAAGTATTACGTAGTTTTTTTAATTTCACAATTCATTCTCTTTCACGTCAATGTAATGAATATTTTTTTCAATTTAACAAAAACTTGCCTCTCATTTTACTGTTTTATTAAAATAGTTATAAATTTATTTATTAAAATTTTCTTTTCTTTAAAAGCAAACAATTCATTTTCTTGAGAAAACACTTTTTATTTTCGTTAGAACAAAAGTTACTTTATTTTCTGTTTAAAAAAGTTATTTTATTTTTTATATGGAAAAAAATTATTATTGAAAAAAATTGAATTTTTGGTTACATACAATTATTTAGTATCTACATTTTTTAAATAAATATAAAATAAAATTAAATATTAAAGAAAAAGTGTAATGATTTTAAGCAGAAAAATAAACAAAAAAAATATCTAAATAATAAATAAAATGCAAGAAAAAGAGGATCATAGTCAGGGTTGGACCCTTGATGTTTTTTAAATAAGAACACTAGTGCCATCTATGCACGAACCTAAATTTTTTTTTTTAAAGTTATAAAGTTTCAAAGGTGATCCAACCCTGACTATGTTCCCCCTTAATTAATGTTTTTAAAAACATATTGTAAATAAATTTTCTACGAAAATTGTAAGTAAATATTTTTTTCTTCTTGCAGACAGCAAATATTGTAGAAAAAAGGAAAATAACAAGATGTAAAAATTTTATTTACTGAATAATGTTTTCCCATTAAAAAAGAAGAATATCATTGGTATTCATAGTCTGTAAATTGTTTGCCTTTGTCAAGTATTCGATTTCAACAGTTCTGACACTTTTTTAAAATTCAAGAGGCCTCACGATTATTCAGATGTTTTGAATACATAGTCTTGTTAACGATAAATCAATTCGTATTTTTTTCTACACAACATGTCTGGCTCTCTGTTGACAAGCAGACACTGTATAATCAAGAAAAATACCATTAATTGTTTTTTCTTTTTGTAAAATCATTTCTTTTTTAAAATTTCTTTTTCTATTATTTATTTTTTATAATTCTTATTTAAAATTAATATTTTTTCAATTTTTTCGTATTTCTCTAGATAATTTCAACTTGTTTGTTTATTAATTAATTATTACCATTGAATTTATATAGGAATAAATACAGGAATAAATGTGGATTTTATTTTGTTTACTGTTCACCAAAGTACTCAATGGATTTTATGATTACAACTGGAATAATTTATTTACCTTTTCATTTATTATCCGCTGATTGATATTTCAAGATACATCTGACATTCAAATGCATCATTAATCATTTTAAAGTTTCGATAAAATCTCGAAATATATTTATACCTACAGCATTTATAGATAAATAGGTGTGATTTTTAAAACGTAAAGCACAATTCACGATCCATGAAAGCTTTCGAGGCTTTTTTCTCTATTTTTCATTTCTGAACGTATTTATCAAGTTTTGAAAATTCCCCGGTTGATAAAATTCAAAATTTTTTTTTAATTTTATAAAATTAAATGAATTTTAATTTTTTTTCGAAAACTAGTTAAATTAGATGGTAAAAAATTACAAATTGAAGGAATTATTATTATTTGAAGAAAAGTAACATGCTCTAGTGTGTAAAACGAGATCAAGAGCAAGTATTCAGATGTGCGATGAACCCACTGGAGAAAACTCTCTCATTTATTCGTGGTCCTATCTTTCGAATCGGTCTCGCGACAAAGGAAATCGAGCGAGTTGAGAAACGTGGTATAACGTCGATTTCGTGAAATTCTTCGGAAAAATCTCCATAATTTGGGAAATTGCCTTTTGATGTTTCAGATGAAAGAGCCTGAGGCTGAGTGGCAGTATGCCACATCTTTTTCTCCCAGCACTAACAGTTTCTTTTGTTCCATCGTCAATGCCATTCTTAACTCTTGAAAAAATGAAAAAAAAAAAAAAATTCGACAACTCTATTACATATATCTATATAATGATCAAAATCATAAAAAAAGTTCCCTTGTCCTCCAAAATGATAACTCTTTATCGTCTCAAATAGCTTTTAGTAGCTTTGAATTAAATTCCTCTTTTTTCACTTCGCAAATCCTTTATTTTACTTTCCTTTTTTTTCTCTCTCTCTCTCATCTTTTTCGTCTTTCACACTCACTCTTTTATTCTAGAATCTTCGAACCGTTTCAACCTCGCGGCTTTCTTTTTTTTCATCGCATCGATGCAATTACGACCCTCTCGGGAACAATGTGAGATATCTCATTCAGTAAAAGTACTGACGATCTTTACGTAATGCAGTTTCCGCGGCACAAATTTCATCCTATTTCCCAATGGATGCATAGCTGATATTCTTTCATGCGATTTTTTATATTAAAAGAAATAATGGAAAATAGGTTTTTGAATATTTGTACACATAAAGGAAGAGACGTTGAACAAAATTAACTGTTAAAAAACAAAAAGAAAAATATTTGTAGCAAAGTATTTTTGAAAAACATTTTTCAAATTGACTGCAGTCAAAGTTAAACGTAGAACTGGAATTTTTCGGAAAAAGGAAGAATTAAAAAATCTACGGGGAGAAAAAAAGATAAAATAAAATAATAATTGTTTTTTAATTAAAGCTTGATAAGAAAAAAAAATTATAAACAATGTCAATTGTTAATAGCAATTGTCAGCAGTCAATGTTAAACGTAAAAAAAGTTATATTTTGGAAAAAGCAAGAATTAAAAAAAATCTACGGTGGGAGAAATCAACAAAACTTTGTAGGATTGCTTAACAATTAACGCTGGACGACATATAAAAATCATAAACATTGTCAATTGTCAATAACAATTGACAGCAGTCAAAGTTAAATGTAAAAAAAGATTTTTCCAAAAAAGCAAGAATTAAAAAAAAATTTAGGGGGGAAGAAAAAACAAAACTTTGTAGGATAGCTAAATGATTTTTTGCTGGGCAAAAAAAAAATTATAAACTATATTAATTGTTAATAACAATTGACAGCAGTAGAAAATGAGTGTAAAGAAAAGAATTTTCTTAAAAAATAAAAAATAAAAAAATTTAAGGCTGGAGAAAATGACAATACTTTGTAGGAAAGCTTATTAATTAAGGGTGGTTGAGTAAAAAAATTGTAAACAATGTCATTTGTTAATAACAATTGACAGCATTCAGAGTTAAGTGTAGAAAAAGATTTTTTTTTAAATGTAAGAATAGAAAAAATTTATTATGGGAGAAAATGACAAAACTTTGGAAGGGAAAAAAATTATAAACAATCTCAATTGTTAATAACAATTGACAGCAGTAAATGTTAAATGTAAAAATTATTTTTTTTTTGAAAAAGTAAGAATAGAAAAAATTTATTATGGGAAAAATGACAAAACTTTGTAAGACTGCTTAATAATTAACGCTAGACAAGAAAGAAATTATAAATTTTATCAATTATTTATAACAATTGACAGAATTCAAAAATTGAAAAGTGAAAAAAAGAATTTTTTTTGAAATGGAAAAAATAAACTGCTTATTAATTAACGCTGAATGATAAAATAATTATAAATAATGTCAATTGTTAATAACAATTGACAGCAGTAAAAATAAATGCAAAAAAGGGTAGTTTTTGACCAGCAAGAATTAAAAAAAATCTAGGCGGAGAAAAAATGACAAAAACTTTTAGGATTGCTTAACAATTAAATCTGAATGAGATAAAAAT